TAAGCACTCAAGAAGCTAGAGTCACTCGCGGCTATCGCCTCGAGCTACTCTTACGCTTCTTTCGTGCTTAGCAACCTCCCACGTGCATCCATAACTCAATAGTGTACGCTGTGGTGTTTACCATTTGTTAAATCGAATTTAACTAATGCTGAGGACAACAAGGTGTAAGGATTCGAAGAGTGTGCAAAAGACTAACCAATCATGATTACTTAAACAGGAGAAAAAATGTGAAAAATAGATCTTTTCTCATTTTTCCTTTGTTTTCATTTACCCTTCTTAATCAATTTTTCGCGGATGACGACTCTTCTTACAGCATGGTAAGCGTACAATCGTCCAACACTTGATGGGTGAAGCTGTGTTTCGGCGGTAACGCTGTGTCGACACTAATTCAACTGAACAAATGGTAAAAACTACAGCGTACACTATTGAGTTATAGATGCACGCAGGAGGTTGCTAAGCACGAAAGAAGCGTAAGAATCGTGCGAGGCGATAGCGTAGAGCGACTCTAACTTCTTGAGTGCTTTGTAAACCTCCAAGGTCCATCCATAACTCAGTAGTTTACGCTGTGGTGTTTACCACTTGCTTTCTAACATAACATTGGTACATTGTGGTAAAAGAGTTCTCTTTTATTAACCAAATCTTACGTGACCAGAAAAAAATAAGTGCGCGCGGAAAAACAGTCTTTGCATTTGCTCACGTCAGCAGCGTACACCCATGGGCAAATGGTGGACGCTGAATTGACCAATCAGAGCGCACACTTTACTTCGGTTATCTTATAAAGCGTCATGGTTTACGAATTCACATGTGAACAACTTATGCTGAAGCTACGGCATAACTTAAGTCATCTACATCATGTCTACCACAACTCTTCGTAAAGATATCCACTCTAAAAAAACTAAAAGCAAAGTGATCAGTCCAGAAAACTCGCGTCATTTGCGCAACCAAACAGATTCGGAACTGCATACAATTGCGACTTGGTCACTGGGGTCTTTCCGTGCTTTAGGTAATTTAGGTAATTTGCCGTAAAATTGGTCCTTAATTCTTACACAGTACAAAGGACACAAAAGATGAGTCATCATCACGTGGTCAACTTTTCAAACAGGAGAAAAGTCTTACTTACAGGGAAATGCTTTTTGTTCACTAGACCAACTTTCCAGAAGAGATTTTTGACGTTTTTGTCTTGTTGCTTTTGTTGCTTTGACGTCTCCTCCTTCATGAGAGGAATCAGGGACTTCACTACTTTCGCTTTTTCCTCAATCGAAGTGTTATTTCCTTGTCGTGATATCACAGGGAGAGCAAGTATGTTTCGTGCCTGGGTATCCTGAGGTAAAAAGCACAAATCCAGATCCGAAGTCTTGTGAAATAGCAGTGTAGCAGTAGAACCAATGATGGTCAACGAGAAAGGGGAATCAGCGGCCTGCAGATGGCGACATATAACGTTCTTTGTTCTTATTCGAGCTTTCAAATCCTTAAGTAACCAGGCCTTCTCTTCGTGAAACAACCTAACAAGGCTCTGACCCACGGTTGCGCAAACGTCTAAGGCCTGGGGCTGACAAGGTCGATCTTTTTGCGTTTTGATGGCAAGCATGACGTCATTGATAAACCAAGGAAAACCGAGTAGCCTTTTCTGGGGGCTTGGGTCTGAATCATCAGCGTGCTCATGCGCATGCGTGTAAGCCACTGTGTACCAAGCCGAGGCCTTCAAACGCATCTCATCCGAAATCAGCACATCGCCTTTTAACCACTGTCCATCGCTGTCAAATTCACGAAAGAATTCACGACGAAGGTACGGGCGTATCGCGAACAGCTCTTCGCCGAGGAGTTCGGCGATTTCAGTTTTCTCTTTGCGCAAGCGATTTCGAAGCTTCATGAAACAGCCAGTGATCATTTCTGCCTCGGTTTCGATGCCGTACACCCGCATCAAACTCTCCATCTTGTCGCGATACCAAGAATAAACTTCTTTGGCGTTTTCAACGAAACTATTGTTACCAGGCAACAGGAAGGACTTGTCCAAACGGACTTTTTGATCGTATTTTTCAGATGTAGTATCTTTGAACTTCCGACAGCGTCGATAGAGTTTTCCTAGAACCTTTTCAGAGGGATAAATTGGTTTATCGCTCTTCATCATGAAATCAGGAAGCTTTTTTATATTCCTAATACCCGTAGTATCAGGCCATTTTCCCGTTTTGGGTGCGTCAACTGCTAAAGAGTGCAGGTCTGCAAGAAAAAGACAGATCTTGGATTGCACGCCGTCTTTCTCGGTATCCGCCAAAGCCTTGTGTGCGTTGTCAATCACGCCTAACTGGTCAGACCGGATNTTTTAGTTCCAATAGTCCGTAGGAGGAGCTGTCGTTTATGGAAGCTAGGTCCTTTCCTGAGGTATCTAAATAAGTCACGCTATAAACACTTAAATGCCGTGTACGTGTTTTAGATTGGAAGAGAAAATGATTCAAACTATCGCAATAGCCACTTTACCTGCCATCTCGTTAGGGTGTGGACGCAAGCCTTGACGTGGGAAAACGACGCAGTCCACAAGATGACAGAGGCCTGGTGCGTGAACAGCCTCGAGCTGGCGTACATCTCCCGGATGTAAACATGGATTACGAGTAACCACCACCGCTCCCCTGAGCACAATTTTTTCGTTCTTGTTAAACTCTTCCTCCCGATCCCCACGAGTTTCAACCGCGGAATACTGTACGAAAACCTGACGCAATAAATATTAATATTAATATTAATATTAATATTAGTTTCAACCGCGGAATACTGTACGAAAACCTGATGCAATGAATTATAATGAAGATATTCTCAAGTGGACTCCGAAGGTAATCATCACTATCTCTCCAAAAGTGGTCTAATGTGAGATTGCGAGTAGGATATCAAGTCCATTATAGCCTACGTGGCTAGTGTCCCAAAGAGGTAGGGGGGGGAGGAAAACGGAATTTAAAGTTTTCCCGGCCTTTCTGATGCTCTTTGGCAGGATACATAGTATCTCTGTAACGGTGAAATGTTATGGGAGTCCGACAATAGTCAAGTGTAAACACGTTAATTAGTGCTGGGTTGGGGGGACGGGTAGGTAAACAACTCTCAGATACTGACATGGACCTTCAGCAAAACGAAGACCTCCTACACAGTGTATCCCTGAGTGTTTTAGCTGTTCAAAAATTGGTCGAAAAATTCGCGAGGAGTTCGATTGCAAAAAGTGATTTTTTTTTTTTTAATTGGGCAAATCTGCTGTGATGGGGCTAAATTTTCACTAAGCTCAAAAATCCGTTTTCATGAGTCAATTGAGGAAAATGGCCGTTATTGTTAGATCTATTTGGGCAGACTCCTCAGTGCCAGGCTTAGGTTCTCGGTAAGCCGTAGAAATTCAAAAAAATGATGAAAAAGAACTCACCTGGCCAGGTTTCAATACACCTAATTCGTCCATCACACCCATCATTAATCGAGCTTCCGTTGGTGGCAAAAGAATGCGGGCTCGGGCAAGTAGTTCGTGCATGTGATTTCTGTACATGGCCACCAAAAGTGACTTAAAAAATGGCTCTGTTGTCAACGGTATCCCTGCATTAGAAACATTGTGATAGGATACGCCCATTTTAGCTCCACTCCCCAGTAGCTGAATAGCATCACGTTCATTTACAAGCACCCCTTTAAACAAACAAATGTATAATATGAGATATTACGTTACCAGACTGGATTGAAAGAATAGAAGGCCTGGAGACAAACTCTATTCTTTTCTACTTCTAAAGTAGTCAGAAATTGTGGAAAGGTTTCGTGGAAAGGAATAAAAATTTAGAGTAAAAATAGGTTTCATCTGAATGGTAAAGTTGGCGAACATGTATACGGCATAACTAAAACATGCTTTACCCAGTAGCTCTTCGATCCGAAAGCCAACTTTCTGGTTCGGTTAATAAAATGGAGAGTTTACTTGGACGCATCTATTGACTTCACCATCTTACCTGCCAGTTTGTCTAACATGTCACTTTGCAGTTTGATGAAAACTTTATCCGGGACTCCAAGGTTAGAGAGCAGCATGATCACCTGATGATTGAGGTAAACGGACTGGGGACGTGACGTCTGCAATACTTCCAGTATGCGGTGAGGGCTATCAAACTTGCGCATGCTCTTACGGAAGATCGCCCTTTTCCCTCGAAGTCTACGATCTAGCGCAAGGACTCCTTTGTAGCCAGCAAATCGGACTTGAAATGCAGATGGTTTGAATGATTTACCAATTTTTCGGACAACCTGACGGAGAGTGCCTCTTTTTAGTTCTAGAAGCTAAAAGCTTAATTTATCAATGAGGATTTCGAAACATTAGAAGCTATTCAAATTTCTAGAATACACAAAGTGTAATTGAGCGTTTTAAAAACAATTGAGTGTCATAAAAACCTCAAATCAGCACGAGGTGCAAATAGGAACTGAAAAGGGATTATTCAAAGGAGGAGAGATTTCCGTGCGCTTCATATGAAGTAGCTTACACTGCTGTACTACCTTCTGTTTCAGCAGGCTCGTATTCAGAGCAAAATGTCTCTCTTTTTTCCGAAGGAAAACGAACAGTTACCTCAGCGGCCAACTCTTCGGATATCTTTCCGACTCCGTCGGAGAAGCAGTATTTTCGGTCAGCTGTCTCAACGTCATCTTCTTCGTTATGATAGGTATCCTCACTGGTCGCAAACCCCACAGCGTCTAGGGAGGTAGAAAAACACTGACCCATACGAGCCATGTATGAGGCTACACACCTATTGGAAAGCAAATATCATAAATTTTAATGTAAAGGGGGCCAATTAGATTGGAAGAAAATATCACATGAGGTCAAAGGGAAATAGAACAAATTGAAAAAATGAATTACGTCGAATGGGGATATATGCAGGTAACACAGTCACAACTAATTTCAATTGTTCACCTCATTGGTTGAAAGGGCTGAACAGGCTTACTAGACCAATCACCGAGTAAAGTGAAACAAACTTGAAATGGTCTCAGGGTAATTTGTTTCTACTGTACTTTGCAGTTATTTTCACTATAAAGTGCATAACACCATTTACTAATGGAGCCCTCATTTCCTCTGATCACGTGCCGTAACAAAGAGGCCGACATCTGCCAATCTCCGAATCTTTTCAATTGCTGTGTTCCTGCTAATCTTTGATCAATAGCTAGGCTGGTTGAAAGAGCGATATCGCTTTAGTGGAGAAATATTCCTTTCTCCTTTTTTTTTCAGTCTTTACTGAAAACTTTTACTTGTTTGCAATTGAAAAACGGAATGGGGATCACTCACGTGATATTAGTGAAGTCTCCCATCCAGCGACGTATGTCTTCCGGTAGAGGAATGACTTCCGGTAGAGAATTGAGCCCTACAAACCAACAGCTATGGTTACGAAGTTGACTGTTGGAGGAACCCAAAAATTGAAACCACTGACCAGCTATCACTAGTCCTTCATCCAATTTACGATTTACTCCGTCTAATATGTCGTCCATATTCCCTCTCACTGCTGACATCTTTGACAGGTCTTCGTCACGAATACTGACACAAAGGAAGTAGTCTGTATTATAATTTCTGAGAACGCGATTCTTGATCATGACTTCCGGTGGGTAGAACAGCAGCCTCGTTGGGGTGATGACCGCGCGCTTTATCAAAGCGCAATGGCCTGGGACCAGCCTGTTATACATTCCGGAAGTCGATGGGTTGTTTTGTTTCAGTAGCGACTCTAGAGTGCTGCCTGGGTCACAGAACTTGTCTTTTTCCAACACTTTACTCAATTTTTCCAAAGCGCCAACAGCTATATTAGAAGATTTCCTCAGCAAAAGTCTACCAAATTTTCCTGGTGGCACTCTCCCGCGAAACAAAGGATGAAAACTGAGGACACTTCCAGCGGCATACTTGACTTCAAAGGGCAAACTATCAGGGATGTCAACATCTGGTAATTTCCCATAGCTCTCCTTCACTCGGCAGTAAAATACACTTTTGTGGAATCTTTTCTCGACTGTGGTCAACAAGCGTCTCAACTGGACAACCTCATTGAATGGTATTGTAACACAGTAGGTAAAGCACTGGCTTACGGCATTCTCACCATTGTGGAAATCTGACGCCCTTTCCCAGCTTCTTTTATCTGTGAGATTACGTGAGAGCTCTGGGGAGGCGTCATAAAAATCGGCTGTACCCACATCCGCGTATTCTTCGTCGGTCGGGAAGCCTTCTGTTTCCGATTCATCGTCACTTGTCGAAACGACTGAGTCATCTCCATCATCTTGTTCATCTATTTGAACGAGATTGAAGAAATCTCCCATTATTTCATGCTTATACAGCCGTGGAGGGTGTCTCGCTGTTAGAAAGACGTTCATGGCTTCTGCACTTCTACCAGTGTCCACGATTATGAAATCTTCAACCTCGTCGTAGCGAAGTTCTATCTTGTAAGAAACTCTAGCAACAGCACCTTGATCAAGAACGACAGAAGATTGCCTGGAGGAATGCAAGGTCAGCATCTTGAAGCTGTGATCAAAATGAATCTTAATGTCTTTTAGGGTGGGTTCTAGAGGCCACTCACACTGAAAATGGCATCGACTTATTAAAGTACCTAAGCATAAGGAACTTGCTTTTAACTCATGAAATGGCTCGTTAGATTTGCGGCGTGTCTCTAATGGCGGGGCTACGAGCCAAACCGGAAGTGGTTCCTCGTCACGGTCGGTGAGGCGCATGCACCACGCGTCTGTCACGTGACATGCAAACTTTTCCTTTGAGCGAAACTCCTTGACTTCTTCAGTATAGCTTGGTTCGAGTTCAAAGGCCATATCCTCTGATGTGGGTTGCTTTATAAATGCTTCACCGGGCGATGAAGTGGACTGAATTGGCTTTGAAGATATCACGTCGAAGTTGTCGTTCAGAAAATCGATCACACGGGATGTTTGACCGACCATATTGCGCACCGTGACAGATATGCGAGGGCTGTAGCGCATGACGGGAGAAGTATCCACACCACTTTCCTCTGCGCCGGGGAGAAAGAGCTTAGGTTTTTTCACTTCGCATCCGAATTTCTCTGCTTGTGATTGCCGCCTCGTGTTATTCATCAAACAGTTGATGGCGTCTTCCATGTTCTGTTCCTTTAGACACAGATCTTTGGCATCCTTTTCTTGTTTTTCATTGCAGATAACGACAAACTTGCTATTGGATCTACGGGACGCGCGCCCGCGGGTCTGAACTAGCGCCCGCAGTGTTGCCGCACCCTCAAAACGAACAACCAGGTTGCATTCGGGGACATCCAGTCCTTCCTCCAAAACCTTCGTGCAAATCAGCAATTTCGATACTCCTTTTCTGAACTTTT